GACAAGTGGCTTTAAGCAGGCAAAGTGGTGACTTTTTTGCCATTCTCAGTTGCTTTTCGCTATCAGTAACATAGAGGATGGCATTTGTTATATTTAATACTTGGGGTGAAAAAAGAATGCTGATTTGTAGAAGGGTAGGTAATCCAGGTAATCTTCCTTGTGGAATAAGTTGCAAGGTATCCTGTGCTAGCTTACTTTATATGGTAGAGTGGATCTGTTTCAGTCAAGCCAGTCAGAACTTACGAGAAGGCTGAAGGAAGGACTAGGACTGAAGGATTGATTTCAGTGAGAAGTTGAGCTGTTTCTCACCTTTCTCTGCAGCCAGGATGACCTTGGCCTTTTTGTGGAACTCAATCTGTTTGTACCGCAGCTCCTAGACTCCAAAGGGAAAGAAACCAAGCGAGTCCTAACCCCTGGGGGCCCCTTAACTTTGATTTTTTTCCCCATGATGAAAAGCAGCTGGACTGGAAGTACTCCTCCCCATAGCCTGGGCTCTTGGGACAGTCTTTTAAACTTGTAAATTATTTTTAAGTCTACTCTCATTTGACTATGTAATTAGATAGATACAGGATCCTTCTTGGGCTTAGAGGAGAGCCTGCCCCAAATTTTTAGAGAAATACATCCATACAGCATAGGTCATAAAACAAGATTATAATTTGAGTCATCATAAAATCATGGAAATCTTTAAGTGCCAGTTTGGCTTCTCATTTGGGAAACCCTTCATATTGGAGGTTGGTTGATTCAACATAGACTATATAATATACATTATCAAAATAAAGTAGTTGAACCACATAGTTTAAAAGCATAATTGCTCTCTTGCCTTTGCCCTGAGAGGCAACAGACAAAGTCTATGCGATAAATATGAACACCATGAGAAATGTACTGGTAATCCTCAGACATTTCCTTCCTGGAATACTTAAATTCTGCTGTGCCTCATCATCTAGATTGGTGGTTCTCAAACTGTGGTTTGTCTTCACTATCAGCGTCACCTGGGAATTTATGAGAAATAAAAATTCTTGGGCCTTAAACATACAGAATTAAAAACTCTGGAGGTGGGACCCAGTAATCTGTATTTTAATAAGCCCTCTAGGTGATTCTAATACACACTGAAATAGGAGAATCACTAACGCCTTTGATCATCAAGGGTGAACCATAGTCTTTTGCGTTGCTGGTCTGTTACTTCACTATAAATATTTTATTGCCCATGTGGATATTACTGCATGTATATACCAGGAATTGGCAACCTGTGTTGTTAGTACTACATCGAATGATACCCAAGTTAAAATGGTTAGTGACCTTCACAGTTCTTTTCTACTTCCTTGTCTTCCTTCTTGCAGAGCGCCTGAAGCAAGGTAGCCACTGGATAATTTGTTAATTGAATGCCTACCTTCCCCCCTTCCTGCCGTCCCCCTGCAAAAAGCAAAATCACATTTTTGTTTATCTTTTGGTTTCTTCCTCTGTGGGAGCTTTAAGCCTGAAAGTGAAGTTCCCAGTTACAAATATGTCTTTTTCCTAATAGTGACTCTGGCTAAAAGAGATTCCTGATACATTAAGGAAAAAGAAAAAAAAGAAAAGGAGGAAAAAGGAAGAAAAAATAGTTATTATGTACCTGATTAGTATGCCTTCCTCAGAATTATCTTAGACCAATGGATCTCAAACTTATCTTACATCAGAATCACCTGGAGAATTTGTCGAACCACAGATTTCTGGGCCCAGACTCCAGAATCAATAGATCTAGGATGAAGCCAGAGGATTTGCATTGCCAGCATGTTCCCAGGTTGTGCTGATGCTGCTGGTCTAGGGACCAGTTTGAGAACCACTTCCCCTAGTTGACTAGACCAGAAATACAGGTAATTTCATGATGTGCTTATTAGGTGTCCCCCAGCTTGCTTAGCCAGTGATTTATAATTAGGAAGTATGGGACATGCCCAGGTGACAAACTTTGTCAGTAGTAGTTTTTTCTAGCTCTGTGCCTTTCCATATTCCAGAAGTTAAGATCTTCTCTTTGAACATAAGACTTTTTTCAGACTTTGAAAACTTACTCAAACTTGCTTGTCTAAATAATTGAGTTTGAGTGGAATAGATTTTTACCCAAGTCTTGCCACACTGATTACTTCATTTCTCTGCTTCTGTTTCTTTTTATTTCAAGCTTAATTTTTCCAATATTATTATATACTCAAACATACGTTGCTTAAGTTGATATTGTTTATCTGTTTTCTGTCCTCTCATACAATTTTCTGAAGAATGGGAAATGGGCATTTCTTCTGGATTTTTTTCTCACAGCTAAACACAGTTGTTACAGACTTGACTCCTTGTTACTTGAATTCTTATTGTGAAACACATCTTTAGCATCTCCTGAAACAGAGAATAAAAAGAGATGAAACTGAGGCTTTTTTCCAAACTCTTTTGTAAGCCTTTTTTTTCTTGCTAAACAAGTGGTTTTGAGGAAAAATTGAAATATTAATCAATACAGATTTCTTGTATTTAATAGGAACTTTAGTTAAATATTTTCAACCATACCTATGCAAACACTATATTCCTGTGCAGATTAATCTCCTGCAGATTAAATTTATAGTTACTCTACTGGATAGCTTCTGGTAGAGAAAAAAACTATTGAAGACCATTTTGGTTTTTCTTTTCCTTTTTTTGTTTGTTTGTTTGTTTTGAGATAGTCTTTTGTTCTGTCAACCAGGCTGGAGTGCAGTGGCGCAGACACAGCTAATTGCAGCCTTGACTTCCCAGGCTCAAGTTATCCTCACACCTCAGCCTCCTGAGTAGCTGGGACTACAGGCATGCCTGGCTAATTTTTTAATTTTTTGGTCCCACTATGTTGCCCAAGCTGGTCTCGAACTCCTGACCTCAAGCAAGCCTCCTGCCTTGGCCTCCCAAAGTGCTGGGATTACAGATATGAGCCACCATGCCCAGCCCTAGTTTTTCTTTTTATGGAATATCACACATGAATTGTAGAAAGATTTACCAAATGAGTACCTTTTTGTTAAAACCTGTGGTTGGGGTGTGGCTCTGTAATTTGTGTCCTGTAGCCAACTTTTCTTTTTCCTATTGCAGAGATTTTGTTTGCCACTCTTTTGCCATTCCAGAAAGTCTGGAACAGCTCCATGCAAGTGTCTTTGTGTTGACATCCTCCCTTGTGATCAAATTAAAAGACAGTTGGTAACATCCTCAAGCACATTTCCTTTCTTATACGTGACAGTTGTGTTAACTTACAAGTTTGCTTCAGATTCTTATTAATGTACTAACTTAAAAACTATCTTTCCACTTACTATAATTACAATAGACATAGCAATGTCGTTAGTCATCAGTTTTCAAATATACATATTACCCATATAATTGTTGCTAAATATTTCATGTTATTACTGATATCCTTATGTGAATGCTGGTGAGAGAGATGGACCATCACTATCACAGTACTCAGAATTTCTGGTTCCCAAATTATTTGGCATTTTATTTTTATATGCCAGTCTCTCATTTTAATTACCCTGATATTGCATGGTTATATTTGTCCTTGATTGTTTCTTTTTATTCTCTACGTTTACTTCTTTGGGTCTCTTAGACAGTGACACTTAATTAAAGCACTTGAGTAAAATATGCACCAACTAGTAAGTCAGTAAAGGATAAGATGTTCTTTTATTTATATGATGAGTTCTAAAATATTTTCAAAGAGCAATCTACAGTGTCTTCTTTAAATACCCTTTGACCTTTTTTTGGATGCTTAACTTGGAGAAAAGAAAAAAGATCTAGAATTCGGAGTAAATCTCAAGTTTTGCTAAATGTTTCACCAATAACAGTTATCTTTTCTTGAAAATGCATAACATAGCATTTTAAATATATTAATTAGTACCATATAGAGATATACCTTATAATCAGTAGTATTATCTTGAAATCAAGAAATAAGTTAAAAGTTGTCTAGCTTCACAGGAACATGAAAGCTAATTATAATAGGTCATTAGGATTTGGACTAATTAGTTTTTTGTTGTCTCCATGGTGCAGACAGTCAGAGTTAAGGTTTAAATGCCTCTAGAAAGAAACTTAAGAACTGAGTTGGGGCCAGGTGCGATGGCTTATGCCTGTAATCCCAGCACTTTGGGAGGCTGAGGCTAACAGATTACTGGAGGTCAGGAGTTCAAGACATGGTGAAACCCTATCTCTACTAAAAATATAAAAATTAGCTGGGCATGGTGGCACATGCCTGTAATCCCAGCTACTCAGGAGACTGAAGCAGGAGAATAGCTTGAACCCAGGAGGCGGAGGTTGCAGTGAGCCGAGATCATGCCACTGCACTCCAGCCTGGGTGACAGAGCGAGAGAGACTGTCACACACACACACACACACACACACACACACACACACACACAAAGAATGGAGTTTGAATAGTGCAGTGATTTAGATCCATAGGTAAGCATCAAGCCTGAACTTGAAAACCAACTTACCAGTTTGGTTACCTCAGATAAGTTTCTTAAACTTTCTGAGTCTGTTGTTCTCATCTGAAAATGAGAGTAATACCATCAATCTGTAAAGATAAAATGAGATATTATATATAAGCTACCTATACTGTGTGTAGTATGTATCATAACTGCAGTGATTGACTAAAAATCAATGTTTTATGCTGTGTGTAAAAACACTAGAGCAAGCTCATCTGCTGCGTTACAGGTGGTTTTCCCAACTAGAACTGCGTAAGATTGGTGAGCTGACACTGGGACTCTGGATAGCAGATGAGAATGTACTGAAGGGAAGAAAAAGAGAAAAGCTTATTGAGAAAAGAGGAGGGAAAGAAGAGGGAGGAAGGGAAAGACATGAGAGAAGGAACTGAGATATGCAGAAAACAGACAGCTCCCTCCCCTAGAATGAAACAGGAGTGAAAGGGAGGCAGAAACCAGGAAGAAAAAAATGAATAGAGAGGACAATGAAGAGCTAATTATTGGGCAGGGGGAGCTTCTGATCATAATTCTCTACATGTTTCTGTTTTTATTTTTATTTTGTAGATATTCCCTTATCAGTTTTCATGTATGGACTGAGTAATGATCATAACTGTATGATGCTAGATACCATTGAAGAGCGGTAAGTATTTCAAATAATGGCTTTGTTACTGCTTTATTTATAACTTGTTGATTTCTTTTAACTACTTTACAATTGACTTATAAATAATTTGGCAATAAAGAAGATAGATGAAGAGTGTCTTTTATCACACTTTGGAATACTTTAAAGTATGTAAATATTTATTCTTGATGATAATACTTATTGGGTACTGTCTTAATCTACTCGGGCCACTACAACATAATATAAACTGGGTAACTCATAAACAACATAAATATATTTTTCACAGTTCTGGAAGCAGAGAAGTCCAAGATGAAGGTGCTGACAGATTCAGTGTCTGGGATGATGGGTGCTTTCTCATACCTGGTGCATTTTCATTGTGTTTTTGCATGGTGAAATTAAAGACCCTTGAGGGTCTTTAATAAGTATGCTAATCCCATTCATGAGGGGTCTGTTCTCAAGACTTAATCATCTCCAGAGGCCTCACCTCTTAATACCATCACTCTGATGTTTAGGCTTCAACGTGTGAGTGTCGGGGGGCACGAGCATTCAGACCATAGCAGGTATTTATTTTGTAAGGAAGTATACTTTGTGCTGGAGATAGAAAAATGGGTAAATTGTAGTACAGTACAGAATATGATCCCGTACATAATTGACCTTAATTTAGGGTAAGTATTGAAACTTTCAATAATAATTTGAATAATAAAAATGAATAATTTTATTTGAATAATAGTAAAATTTCAATAATAATTTGAAAGTCAAGCCAATATGCAAATATTGCTTAGAACATTTGTGGTATTCAAGGTTTGGAATTACTTTTTGAACCAATACATAAGCAGGGCAAGAAAATGAGGCCCAGCTTAGTGGCTCATGCCAGTAATCCCAGCACTTTGAGAGGCAGAGGCAGGAGGATTACTTGAGGTGAGGAGTTTGAGACCAGCCCGTGCAACATAGCGAGACCTTATCTTTCAAAAAATAAAATAAAAATTAGCCTGGTGAGGAGGCATGTGCTTGCAATCCTAGCTCCTTAGGAGGCTGAGGCAGAAGGATCGCTCGAGCCCAGGAATTCAAGGTTACAATGAACTGTAATTGTACCACTGCACTCCAGCCTGGGTGAGATATCAGAGTGAGATCTTGACTCTTAAAAGAGAATTAATTGCTTTTTAGATTCTTAAAATTTTTATACTTTTAGTCAATAGTGGTATTGTCGCATTTAGTTACCCACATATTAATCTTATGGGTTTTAAATGATTTTTGGTTGATTCTAAAGATGAAATTCACTCTCAGAGGATGGGAATTGGACCCACTATTGGCATTTAAAAAGCAAAAATACTATAGTCATGGAAGGAAATACTCTAGGCAAAGAAATATTCTAAGTAATTGGAAAGGTAGAGGAGGAATTGGGACTGTTCAACGTACTGAGGGCATCTAACTTTTAAGGCATCGACTTGCATACAGTGTACAATTTCTTGCATACGCCTATATGTGGAACCACAGAGAAAATGTAGATAGAGCCTGAAAGTGGTAGGAGGAGGGGTAAGTGTTAGGAGGAGGCAAAACATTTTACAGTTTACAATACAGCTTTAAGCCTTACCGAAACACAAATGAGCAAAGTAAAGCTTAGGAGCAGACATCTAGTGAGTGGCAGAATCAGGACAAGAAACCTATGTCTGCTGACTTCTTGTACAGAATACTTTCTGTTATTTCATAAATCCTTTCACAATTTTTTTTTTCAACCCGATTTTGTAAAGACAATTTGGAAGGGAAGTGAAAGGTTGGTTTGTTAAATCAAAAGGGTGTGAATTTCCTAGCCAGGTTATCTTTAGCTACTTGTCACTGGTTGACCCTGATAATTTAGATACCCTCCCACCACCCCCCTTACTTTAACTGGTCTCTATGATCAGTTCTAGACTTTTTTGCATTGGGGGGAAAATTGCTTTCAGTCTTAGAGTCTTCAAAACAAATCTGGAAGAGGCTTTATTTGTTAGCACTTGATAATATATTTGTTGCTTTTATCCAGATACTAAGATTTTTATTCTCCCCAAATAGTTTAAATTACTACAGTTTTACTATAAATTTTTAAGGATTTAGAGATGTGTAGTGCAGTCTAATTGTGAGGCTTTCTTTTGATACTGCATATCTTTCTGAGGCAGTGGTCAATATGGGCACTGATTCTAAGAAGCACACAGGTTCTGCTTGTCTAAATCTTTTAAACTTAAGTAAAACAAATGTCAGCAGAATGGGGGCATTCTTTTTGGGAGTTATGTTGACTTTTTTTTTAATTGTGTGGTTCTGACAGTGAGCCCAGGTAACTACTGGAATTATTATGTAGTTGCTATGAGCCTTTGTCTCTGGATCACACTAATGCCCTCTAAGGAAGTAGACTGAATAGATAGTTCATCTTCTCCAGCAGAATTTGTTAATGTCTTTCTAAAAGACTCAGATTTGACAGTGGCAAAGTAAACAAGATGAGTGAAAAGAAGTGAAAAATGGCCTAAGTCCTAATAGCCATTTTAAATAAAATTAAAAGCATGATAAAACTGCCATGCATTCTTTGCTCTTTTGCTTCTAGTTTTCTATTCATTTAATATAAAGAGGATGGAGATAACCCAGAAACACTCTTTTAAAATAACTTCTACCTCCTATGTATAAGATTGAGGGGAAATTTAAAAAAACTTTATGGGTCATTATTGTCTTGCATTTAGGCATTCCAGATGTTCCACTCTTCTCCCAAGTTCCAAGGTACCAATAGTCAAACTTCACATTAAAGGATTTGAGAAAAAATGAAAGATAGAACTTCACAAGTCACTGTGATGAAATTGAACTTTCTTTAAATGTGTGTGTGTGGCTGGGCATGGTGGCTCACACCTATAATCCCAGCACTTTGGGAGGCCAAGGTGAGTAGATCATGAGGTCAGGAGATTTAGATCATCCTGGCCAACATGGTGAAACCCTGTCTCTATGAAAATACAAAAAATTAGCCAGGTGTGGTGGCGGATGTCTGTAGTCCCAGCTACTTGGGAGGCTGAGGCAGGGGAATCGCTTGAACCCGGGAGGCAGAGGTTGCAGTGAGCCGAGATCGTACCACTGCACTCCAGCATGGGGACACAGTGAGACTCTGTCTGAAATTTAAAAAAAAAAAAAAAAAGTATGTGTTCAAAAAGTGTTGACATGTAAACCCTTGAATAATCTATACATTTACCTAATGGAATGTCACATAATGGCTTCATAGGTGTTGAGTCTGAGCTCCATTTAAAAAAACAACAACAAAAAAAAAATAACTAATGCTTAACCAGATGCTCCTGCCTTAATTGGTAGAGAAAGGTCAGCAACATTCTTTAAGTCCAATAAGAGGATTATTAATAGATGGATTTTACTGGTAACCTCTTAGGGTCATCCTCTGACCCTTCAACAAAGCTTGGTTTCAAACTTCGAGTCCATGAAAAGCAATGTGTTGTTTAACTTTACCCCTTTGGTACCACTATCACCAATTCAACAGACATTTGTTGATGGTCATTTTTGTTTGTTTGTTTCTGTTTTTTTGCGACGGAGTCTCACTCTGTCGCCCAGGCTAGAGTGCAGTGGCGCAATCTTGGCTCACTGTTGGCAGCCATTTTGTGCAAGGTTGACATCTAAGTCATTATACTACATATATTTTTTGATATGGGCCTTTTCCAGCTTACCATACAGATTATGCTCTTTTGATTATGCTCTTGCTGACTAAAGATCAGTTCAAACTAACCTATAGGAGATCTTCTAAAAATCCTCTGTCTTGGTGCATTTAGGCTGCTGTAACACAATACCATAAACTGGGTAACTTATAGACAACAGAAATTTCTTTGTCACAGTTCTGGAGACTGGGGAGTCCAAGATCAAGGTGCTGCCAGATTTGGTAGCTGGTGAGGGACTGCTTGCTGGTCCACAGACAGCTGTCTTTTCCCTGCATCTTCACATGGTAGAAGCAGTGAGGGAGGTCTTTACAGTCTGTTTTGTAAGGGTACCTTCATGAAGGCACCACCTTTAATACCTAATCAGCTTCTAAAGGCCCCACCTCCCAATACCTTCACATTAGGCTTTTTCTTTATGTGCTTTTTTTTTTTTTCTAACAGTTTGATAGTTTTAACTCTTATCTTTAGTCTTTGATCCATTTGCAGTTAATTTTTGTACATGGTTTAAAGTAAGAATCCAACTTCATTCTTTTGCACATGGATATCCAGTTTTCCGGCACTATTTGTTGCAGACTGTCCTTTCTCCCACTGAATGGTCTTGGCACCTTGTGGAACATCATTTCGCATATATGTGAAGGTTTATCTTGGAACTCTTTTTCCTATTTTATTGTTCTTAGATGTCTGTCTTTATGCCTGTTCCAAGCTTTAAGAAATATGAGTTACGGAAATAGTGAATGAATTAATGATATATATAAATCTTACAGGAAGCCAGGTATTATAAGTAAACGATAACACACACACACACAAAAAAAACAGGAGAATCAGAGTTGAGACTTAAGACTTTGGAATTATCAAATACAGCATTTTTTTAGAGACAGAGTTTTTTTTTTCTTGCTACGTTGCTACGTTGCCCAGGCTGGAGTGCAGTCATAGCTCACTAGAGCTTTGAACTCATAGGCTCAAGCAATTCTACCACCACAACCTGCCACGTAGCAGGGAGTACAGGTGTAAACCATCACACTCAGTTTAAAGACAATATATTTTTAAAGAAATGAGAAAGGCTTTAAAATGTGAGAAGCAGATTTTTTTAAATAACCAAATATAACCCTTATTAATGGAAATAGTAATAATTAAAAACTCAATGGACTAGAAGCAGATTAGACCTAGCTGAAGAGAGTCAGTGAACCAGATGTTAGATATGAAGAAACATGATATTATTTTTAGATATGAAGGAGGGTTAAGAAACATGAAGAATAAAGGTAGAAATTTGAACATAGGTAAATAGATGTTCTATACTGAGGAAACAGAATGATGTCACAGCAATATTTAACAATAAAGTTTCTGAGAATTTCACAT